GAGAGGGAGAGGGAGAGGGAGAGGGAGAGGGAGAGGGAGAGGGAGAGGGAGAGGGAGAGGGAGAGGGGAAGAACTAGGAGGAGGTGCCTCCTGAACTGGGGCTTGAACGACCGGAGAAGTTAGTCAAAGAGGCTGTGGGTGCTGAGTGGCAGGGCTGTGAGGGCATCCCCTGATGTCAGAGAAGCTGAAATTCCAGAAGCTTCCAGAGCCTCGGTGCCATTCCAGCGCTTCCCCAACTTGTGTTGCAGGAAAACTCTTTCAGAAGATACTAGCCGATGTGCAGAGAGGACACTGTCGTCTCCTGACAATGAAATTCTCCAGGTCCTGCGCTGCTGGTTTTCTCCGAGTCTTGAACGTGTTCACTGCAGCCAGCAGTGTCTGCAGAGCCCAGGGTCCGCGCGCTCTGTGGAACAGTTCTGCAGAGTTTATTCCGTGTCCTTCTCGATGTGGTGTGGAGCAACCATGCTATTCCTGTCATTTTCTTCAGATGAAAAAAATAAACCTTTTTTTAAAAATCTGTCTTTTCTGTCTCTTTGCCTTTCAAATAAAAACAAACTTGAAAGTTGTTCAACCTCTATTTGTTTTAGTGAAGAAAGTGCAGAAGGCAGCACTAACTTGCCCGCTGCAGTGTGAGAAGACGTAGGTAATGATGACTCTAGGGGGCTCTAAGAAGAGGCGAATGACGCATGGATGTCCTAGCAGAGCCCTCCCAGGGTTTTCGGAGTTCTCGCTGGAGCTGCTCCTGTGGGAATTCGCCTTCCTGGATCTGACTTCTAACTCAGTCCCTTTTCTGTTACAATCTACAATGCGGTCCTATCATTTGCGTGTGTGTGTGTGTTTGGTTAGGAGATTTGTTGATGTGTCTTTATTACACACACACACACACGAGCTATGTGATCATGTGAGGAACACAAAAAGACACAGCACACCTGAAGATCTTTGACCACGGGTATTTTTCTGTTTATCAGAGCTCATTAAAGAACTTGCAGTGTTGCTTATTCTCCACTGTTCAGGGACTCACGAGCAGAGCGCCACTGCCTGTCTTGAATCCCGGGCTCTCGCGCACTCCTGTGACCTCGGTTAGGTGACCCCAGTGCTCTTCTCCTTCCCGTGATGCACGCGTCGCGCCTTGGTCCCCGGGCAGGTAAGCAGGGCATCATCGGATCCTCCCCCAGAGGCTCGCCTGGGGCAGGGCCTGCAGCCTCCAGACCCGGCGTCTTTTGTGACGAAAGCAGCCGCTCGTTCTGTCATTTTAAACTTCACCCACCAACCTCATCATCATCAGATTCTCCTCTCCAGGCCATTCCCTGTGTGTGTCGCTCAGAGTCCCTTGTGACAGAGCAGATCGGTCATTCACCACATCTCATGAATGAGCAGGTACTGCACCAAAACGAAGTGCAATGAGACCAGGTATTGGGGACATCAGACACGGCTTTGCCCTGTGTTTCAGTGCAGGGTGTGACAAACCACAGGACACGGCAGTCACCAGAAGGACCTGCTGGGATTAACCCAAGGGAGCTGCTCTCCCTTCCCATGAGAACTACCTGGTTTCAAGATTAGCAGAGGGAGAATGAGCTCTATCATGCTCAGTTTCACATTTAAATTTCATTCCCTCTATAAATATTTTGTGATAGCAATCCAATTCTTCCTTTTCTAAAACCCCCACTTTGTCTTTTTTTTTTAAGATTTATTTTATTTACTTGAAAGGCAGAGCTGGAGAGAGATCTTCCTTCTGCAGGTTCACTCTCCAGACAGTTGCAACAGCTGGCGGGAGCCTGGAGCTCCATCTGGGTCTCCCGTGTGGGTGGCAGGAGCCCAAGCACTGGGCCATCTTCTGCTGCTTTCCCAGGTGCATGAGCAGGGAGCTGGATTGGAAATGGAGCAGCCGGGGCTTGAACTGGCGCTCATATGGGAAGTCAGCATTGCAGGCGGCGGCTTTACCCACTGTGCCACAACTCCAGCCCATCCTGCTTCTTTTCCAACCTTTCAAAACATTGATCCTTTTAAACCCATCGATCCTCCTGCTGTCTTACTATTTCAGTTTCTTTTACTTGTTTTCACACTGTCATGATGTTTCCCCATGTCGGCATCACCTGGGTTCCAGGTGTACCTCTAATTTCTTGGGGATAGAATCATTCTTCGAAGGCAAGAGATAGTGAATGGGCTGACATCAAATGACACTGGCTGATGTTTTTTTCTCCATGTGTGAATATGGAGTCTGATTTTGTGCTTTGGGCTGTTAACAAGGCACCTTCCTGGGGTTGCCCCGGTGGCGTCGTCGTGTCGCTTCCTCTTCCCACCCTTTGGGAACGAGCCCTGCTCCTGGGCTTCAACCCCAGAATCCTGGCTCAGGGCAGAACAGAAGCACCTGTCCGTGCGCGTGCACGCTTACGCCCGCTCTCGGCACGGCTCCACAGCCCAGGGCTTCCCTCCCTCCCCGCCTGCCCGTGGTGCCCGGCGCTATAGGAGGGAGCGCAAGGAAGTGGATTCGGACTGTTAACTAAATGCCCCCACCCGGGCTGCCCTGTGCAGTGGAAATTTGATGGCAGGATCTGCAAAGAACTTTCTGGTCCGGTCACAGAATTTTTTTTCTTTATGAGGCAAACACTGATGATTTTAGCAGAGATGAAAATTGCTGCATTAACCGACCATTAACTGTAAGTGCTCATGACATGAAAAGGAAGAAACCCACTGCTCATATCATGGGTGTTGTCAAAAACCAGGTGAATACTTGGATAACAAAAAAAAGTTGTACCTGTTTGCGACCCCTTGTGTTGTTGGCAGTTGTGAGTGATGAAATCTGAACTAGAAGTAGGGCTCACGGGAGGCGTGATGTGTAATCCTACAGTGCAGGAGGGAGGAGTGGGAGCGACTGTAAAAGGTCAACAGCCCTGAATCCACTCCCACAGAGAGCTGTTGCTTCAGTCTCGAGAGTCCTCCCGTGGGGCCCCTTTGCCGTGTGAAATGGGGACCTGCTTTCCGGTGAGTGAGAACCCTGTGAGAGCGCTGCCACACAGGGCTCCGGGTTTGCCTCTCTGTTTCTGACTCCCAGTGGCAGGTGCAGCGGTTATTTTGTTGCTGATGCTTTCAGAAGTTCCCAGGTGACTGCTGGCTGAGCTCAGTGTCAGAGTGAGGGTAGGGCAGGAGCCTTTCAGAGGAGCCTGGTGAGTGCTGGATGTCACGGTGTTTCCCGCCCTTGACTTCTCCGCAGAGGCCACGGCCAGAGCTGTGCTCCAAGAAACAGGGGTAAAAAGACCTAGCGTGAAAAGCAAAACAAAACCACAAAAAAAAACAAAGTTCAGCTTTGGGGAATGGTAGCCTTGGTGAGTGGGAGTATCTGGGGTGTGTGTGTGTATACCCGTAGTGGTATTGAGAGGGGGTATGGGATGGCTAAATGTGCACTGCAGTGCCCAAATGGTGCCAGTTTGTGTCCCAGCTGCTCCTCTTCTGATCCAGCTCTCTGGAAGATGGCCCAAGTCCTTGGGCTCCTGAACACACGCGGGAGATCTGGAAGAAGCTCCTGGCTCCTGGCTTCGGAATGGCCCGTCTCTGGCCATTGCAGCCATTTGGGAAGTGAACCAGCAGGTGGAGGATCTTTCTCTCTGTCTGCCTTTCTCTGTCTGTAGCTCTGCCTCTCAAATAAATAAAATCTTAAAAAAAAAGCTTTTCAAAACAATTAGTCTTATCTCCTTTTCTTCTAATTGTTTATTATTTTCATCTACTTGAAAGAGCAACAGAGAAAGAGAGAGATATCTTCCAGTTGCTGGTTTACTCCCCCAAATGCCCGCAACAGCAAGAATTGGGCCAGAATAAAGCCAGGAGTTGGAAACTCCATCCAGGTTTCCCACATAGGTGGTAGATGTCCAGGCACTTGAGCCATCATTTGCTATATTCCAAGATGCATTAGCAGAAAGCTGAATCAGAAGCAGAGTGGCTGGAACTGGAACCAGCACTCCAATATGGGATGCAAGAGTCCCAAGTGGTAGTTTACCCTACTGCATCACAAGACCCACGCCCTAAAATACAGACTTTTTTCCCTCAAAGAAACCTTTTATTTAAGGAGTCAAATTTTATAAGTACAACTTTAGGAATATAATGATTCTTCCCACCATATGTGCCCTCCCAACCCACTCCCACCCCACATCCTCCTCCCTCTCCCATTCCTAGTTCCATTATCCATTAAGATTAATTTTCTTTCTTTTTTTAAAAGATTTATTTATTTTTATTTGAAAGTCAGTTACACAGAGAGAGGAGAGACAGAGAGAGAGAGAGAGAAAGAGACAGAGAGAGGTCTTCCATCCAATGGTTCATTCCCCAATTGGCCGCAACAGCTGGAGCTGTGCCGATCCGAAGCCAGGAGCCAGGAGCTTCCAGGTCTCCCAAGCAGGTGCAGGAGCCCAAGGACCTGGGCCATCTTCTACTGCTTTCCCAGGCCACAGCAGAGAGCTGGATCGGAAGTGGAGCAGCCGGGTCTCAAAGCAGCGCCCATACAGGATGCCGGTGCTTCAGACCAGGGTGTTAACCCGCTGTGCCACAGCGCCAGCCTCAAGATTCATTTTCAAATAACTTTATACATAGAAGACCAGCTCCATACCAAGTAAATATTTCAACAATTTGTACACATACACACACAAAAATAACTGAGAATAAGTTTTACAGTTAACTCTCATAATACAACTAATTGAGGACAGAGGGCCTGCATGGGAAGTAAGTGCACAGTGACTCCTGTTCTTACTTTAACAGTTAACACTTTTATGTATGACATCAGTGATCACCTAAGGCTCTTGACATGAGCTGCCAAGGCTATGGAAGCCTTTTGAATCCACAATCTACATTAGTATTTAGACAGGGCCATAAGCAAAGTGGAAGTTCCTCCCTCCAGAGAAAAGTACATCCTTCTTTGATAGCCACTTCTTTCCACTGGGGTCTCAGTCACAGAGATCCTTCATGTAGGACATTTTTTGCCATAGTGTCTTGGCTTTCCATGCCTGAAATGCTCTTTTGGGCTTTTCAGCCAGAACAGAATGTCTTAAGGGCTGATTCTGAGGTCAGAGTGCTACAAAATACAGTCTTAAAAATTAGTTAAATTATGGGGGCCGGTGTTGTGGCACATCAGGTAAAGGCACTGCCTACAGTGCTGGCATTCCATATTGGCACCAGTTTGTGTCTTGGCTGCTCCACTTCTGATCCAGCTCTCTGCTGTGGCCTGGAAAAGCAGTGGAAGATGGTCCTTGGGCCCTTGCACCCATGTGGGAGACACAGAAGAAGCTGCTGGCTCCTGGCTTCGGATCGGCGCAGCTCCAGCCATTGATGCCATTTAGGGAGTGAACCAGCAGAAGGAAGACCTTTCTCTCTGTCTCTCCCTCTCACTATCTGTAACTATACCTCTCAAATAAATAAATAAAATCTTTTTAAAAAAATTAAACTATGGGTGTTAAGCACAATCATATGACAAATAACAAATTGGGAGGGAACAATATGCAGCAAATGTCTTAAATTTCTAAACTTGTTTACCTTACAGTTTTATATTTTTCTTACAAAACCAAAAAATAGGCCGGCGCCATGGCTCAATAGGCTAATCCTCCTCCACCTGCGGCGCTGGCACACCAGGTTCTAGTCCTGGTCGGAGCGCCGGATTCTGTCCCGGTTGCTCCTCTTCCAGTCCAGCTCTCTGCTGTGGCCCGGGAGTGCAGAGGAGGATGGCCCAAGTCCTTGGGTCCTGCACCCACATGGAAGACCAGGAAAAGCACCTGGCTCCTGCCTTTGGATCAGCATGGTGTGCCAGCCGCAGCGCGCCAGCCATGGTGGCCATTGGAGGGTGAACCAATGGAAAAAGGAAGACCTTTCTCTCTGTCTCTCTCTCTCACTGTCCACTCTGCCTGTCAAAAAAAAATTTTTTTAAATCAAAACCAAAAAATAATCTAGTAAAAAATAGACTAAAAATAACAGTAAGTAGATATAAATGGCTCATAAGTATGTAAAAGTATTCAAATTATAATTTTAAAATGCAAAATAAACAATAAGGATAAAATGTTATATCTATCCAGTTTGCCAGAATCAGCAAGTTTGGTCTTGCCCATTGCTGACAAGAGTGCACTTTGTCTCACATGTGATTATTAGAAGTGTTAACTGAAGAAAAATTTGACCAACATATAAAATGCATGGGCCCTTTAATCATATGCCAGACATTTAAGCCAAAACATATCTGCTAAAGTATAAAAAGGTATATTTATAGTATATTCTCACATTGTTTATGATAGCAAAATCTGTTAACACTTCAAATGCATATCCGTAAGAGAGTGCCTAAATAAATTATGATACATTCATATAATGGATGCAGATCTGTACAAGGTATTGAGAAACAGAGTAAAAATAGCCAAAACAAAATTCTAAGTTTAAAACATAAGGTGCAGACCTGTTAGCATATTACAGTCCTTTGTAAGCTGTGTACTGTTATCATCCCCATTTTACAGATGGATAAATAGAGGCACAGGAAGTTTACTCAAAATCACGCCAGGTACCTGGTGGGGGTTAAATAAGAGGGATGCCTCAGGGAGGACTGCTAGTTTCTTGTTAAATATACTTCAATTCTGAACTCTGATTGTAGCATCAATTCTACTCTCCCTTCAGCATTGTCATTGCTAGAGATTAGAAATTTTAAGTAGAAACATTTGTAATAACTGGGAATCCTCATCAAACTTTGATGAAATCAATTCAAACCAAATAACTGCCAGAGCTCACCCTGGGCCAGGCAATGTCTGAATCCCCACCAACCCGAGTGGAAAGGCCTTGTGGAACACAGGGCCCATTCAGAGTCCACCCTTTAGAAGTGGGGTTCAAATTCCTGCAAAACCTGTTCTTGATGACCCTTAGCACCTGCAAAGTGCTAATAATAATAATAATAATAATAACAACAACCCGTTTTGAACCAGTCTCCTGAGTACGTTGGTGGAATTTGTGCCCATGATGCTGAGAGAGCATGTGTCAGCTGACCCCAAATCCTAAAGGCAGGCGCTCCAAAGCCGGGATGCCTGATCCCGCTGCCGGCCCTGCCTTAACTGCTGCTCTGAGGGGTACAGCGCCCCCCAGGCAGAAGCGGTAAGGCTCCTCTGATGCCTGGAAGCAGTGGACGTTTCTCCCGGACAGAAAAAGACAAACAAAAGACAGTCTGGAAACACAAAGAAGACACTGGAAACACAACTGATTGTGCAGCTGGAATGGTAGTGGCCAATGGACCGAAGGGAGTGGGAGTCCTGAGTGTGGCAGCACCATGGCGGGAAGGGCCCGTTGGCCATGATACAAAATCACAGGTCAGTATTCACCCAGTGAGAAACAGCAGGTCCTCCTCCCCTTTACAGCTCCCCGGAGTCACAGGCCAGGTGACAGCGGCCCCTAGTGGCGAGCTTGGGAGCGCCGGCTTCCAGGGACCATCTTGCTCTAGAGAGTAAACATTCTAAAGGCTCTTCAAAACTCCAAAGGAGTGCAGGCCCACTGGAGGGT